TAAACTAACTCTTGTTTCTCTAAGACATTTTCAGGATTTTTTTTAAACAGGAAAGCTGGTCCCCAGTGCAACTAAATAAGAATTTAATGACTCCTGTTCTCTGTCAAGCCAACAACAGCCCAATACAGTTTGAGTAATCTTTTTATTAGAAAACAAATAATTTCTTTTTCACTGCCATTAAAATGACCCCTACTTTTCAGTATTTCAAATTCTCCCTCAAGCCCTTTTTGAGTATCTAGTAATGTGCTTTGAAGGTGATTACACTGCACTTTGTCGCTTCTCTGTTATATAGTATCCTAATCATTCAGGCTAAATGTCTCTGCTGTGAAGAGAAAATAGATTCAGACATCAAGCACATTTGTAAAATACAAAATTCACTAGGTTGTACACAAGAATAGAAAAATAGAAAAAATACTATTTGAAACAGAGTTGAAAATATCAAACACAAAATGAATGAATGAGCCAATATGTGAGTACGAGATATAGAAACAATATTGCAATTTTGCTATTCTTTATCTTTGTAATATTAATCATAAAAGTATTTCTAAACTTTTAATGAAATTGTTCACAAAACAAAGATTTCTAATTTTGTACTCTCTTGTTTCATTTTATTGAACTCAATGTTGTAAATATGAGTTCTGAAGAGATGGATGTTTTCAAACTATCACACAGAGACCATAAGAAATTAAGGTACTTACAATGGTCAGAAAAAGAAAACAAGACAACTGTGGCATTTGGGAAAAGAGTCATGCTGTGGAAATTTTACAATGCCCATAAGCAAAAAAAAATCTATCAAACAAAGGTCAGGAAAAAAAATGTTATGAGTAAAGTCCAGGTCAAATGAATTACAATGATGATGATGAATGAAAGATTTGACCTAGTGGTGAAGGATGAATGAGGAATCTGGAACAAAGGAGAGAAGAAAAAAAGCCAGAAGAGTCTTAATATGAACATTGAACTTGTCTTGAACACAGGAGGAAAGATGCCAATCCAGTAGACAAATCGCCAAACAGGAAAAACATGGAAAGCGGTAATTTGAAAGAAAAGTAAAGAAAACAAATGGATGGAATATACCCATGAGGATGCAATAAGAATGGAAAAGGAGTAAAGATGGCAGAGAATGGGATGTGCAGGAAGATTAAATTTATCACCCTATTCCCCTGTTCACCACTTGAAACTTTCTGTTGTCACGTTCAGTCACCTGTTTGACTATAAAGTCTTAAGAGAATTTTATATATCTTGAATGGGATTCCTCATAGATTAAGAGCTATATTAAAAACTAATGAAAATTAATAGTTCCTTTATTTTTTTGTGAAAGACACACCTCTAGTTTATACAATTAAAGCAAATAAATGACCAGTCTCATGTTTAAGCTTCCCTTCATAAAGTATTATGTTCATCTATTGCATGACTTGATGAAGGTACCTAATGTAAAGGCTATAAATACAGAAGTTTAAGATAGCAGTGAGATTGCTTTAGAACTAGTCACAGAAGAACACTATGTCCCTTATTTAAAAAGTATAATATCTTTATAAAACATAAACTACACAATAGGTCTGCCTGATTTGGGAACAAACATTACCCTTACACCACCAAAACCTTACCAGCTATTTCAACTTGTTTGCTGGCTACTGTTAAGGCAGAAGGAAAGTTATTAGATTATTATGTTATGAGGTGACAGCAGAAAGTGACATAAGTGTGTCATTATGGGTGTAGATGTTCACAAGCCCCCATACCAGTCCCAATTCAACAGACCTGAGCTTTTTTCTCTGCCAGCTTTTACACTACCCTGTTTCTTGACCTTTATGCCTCTAACTTCTATGCTCTTCATTTTTATCTTGAATCTCCACAAACTGCTTTGTGACCTCTTTCAATTTTATTCTTTTTCCCCTTCTTGTCCATTGTCCCTCCTTTACTTTTGCTTTTGCTGCAATTAATACTGATAAAACACTAATTTGGAATTTAAAGTCAGACTGCTCATTTCTTGGCAGAGTATATGTTGTTATTCTAGAGTCATCATTCTCTCTCTTCTCTCTTTCTCATTCAGCCTTTATCTCTTTCTCACTTTCTCTTTCTCTTCCTTTTCTCCTTTCTTCCCTTTCTTCCATTTTTTTCATATAACATCTCTATGTACAACTATGTACTACTTGAGCAGTCAAGAACAGTTAATAGCTGGGATATCCTTGGAGGCTAAAATGTAGTAATGTTTGAAGTCACTGGCACTCTGCAGAGGAAAATGTAATCTATGTTTTTTAAAGACACTTTAATTGCTCAGCAGTCATGCAGAACTGGGAAATATTGCTCTGCTTCCAAGATAATAACTCCCCAAATTACAAAGGTCGCTTACTCAATACCCATGTTATCTAGCAAAATATGAGAATGACACCAAGACTCAAAAACTCAACTTCATGTTAACCTATTATTTAGTATTAGCTTTCATGTATTTTTGTAATATACATAACCTGCTGTGTGCTACTGTCATTTAAAACATAAAGACTTCATCTAGCTTTGTTGATAAAATAAAGTTTTTCATATGGAGCCCATTTATACCGCCCTAATTCAGCTAAAACTAAAATTAAAAATGAATGGGAATAAATGGATGAGAAGATTTAGCACAGAGCAAAGGTAGCAGTACTAACTACAGCCAGCTTTCACTGACCCTTGCTGCTTTTCCTTGCAATTTCCCTCTCTTTTTGTGCAATTATTCCATCAACTAAAAGGAGCTCAGAGCTTTAATATCTATTTAACATATAAACATAATCTTTATATGATTAACACAACGTTATTAAAAGAACTAGCTAATGCACTGATTAAAGATTTCCCAGAAATTTGTGATGTCTGTCACATCCAAACTTATAACTGTATCTGAACTTCTGAGGGTGAAACTTTGTATCTCTGCACAACCTGCTCAAAACTTTGTGCAATCTACCTCAGAAAAGGAGTCACACATGAGCATATTCTTTTTAACCCTTTTTCTTCCTCTCAAGACCTAAACATTGTATGGGCACGTACTTGAAAAACGGTTTTTAGGCTCTGTTACAAGAGATTTTTAATGATGTTCAAATCTCATCAGTACTTTCGAAGATTTGACTCAAAATAATACCTCAAAACCTGGAACTGTAGAATAATACTACTTTTTTTGTGAAAGAAATAAAAAAAATCATATCAATGCCAAATAGATACCATACCTGTGTCATAATCAATTGCAAACTGGCCATAAAACTGAAGACAAAATTATGTTCAGTACCATGGACAAGTACTGCCCAAACTATACACAGAACAGCGAAAACTACTTACTCCAAAAACGCCTTTTGTTACAAGAAACACAGACCAGCTCCTGATGGTAAATTCTTAATACCCAAATTTTTGAAATCATCACAGTTGTAATTAAAGATATGTGGCAAAAACTATCAGCATCAGAAAATATAGGACTATAGAACTAGTTAGCATGCATAACTTGTTCCTGCTGCTAACTTGTCTCTCCAATTTGCCACCACAAGAAAACAAAAACAACAAAAAAACCCCAGGAATCTAAAAAGCATATTAAAATCCCCAAAGCTCTTGTCACTCTTTTTTAGTATAACTTGCCCTTACAAGTAGTATGAAATATTTACAATGCACTATATTTATCTTCATTTGTTATATCACACTGGAGATAAAAGCTCTGGATAAAAAATGGTGGCATAAGACATTCCCTTTATCTTCTTTAATATTTTGTTATGAGCATTTCCAACTAAATTATAATTGCATATAATAAATTAACTTTTTCATAATAGTTTAAAAATGCACTTTCATTTTGCTAAATTTAAAAGTTATCCATGTTTCATAAATTTCATCAGTCCCAACAAGATGTGGCAAAATGTTTGACAAATAAAATGATGGGCTTTGCCTTCATGAAAGTGAAGTTTGTCTTTTAGTATCTGTAATTATTAAATAACTAGGCAGTTTATAACGAATCAAGAATTTTTCAGTTTCATAGATACTGCACAATTCAAAATTAAGAATAGGGAAAAAAAATGTCTTCCCAAATTAATCAACCTTATAAATCCCTGTTATATATACAGAAAAAAAAGTATTTTACAACTTAGTGCACAGAATCAGCTGTACAATATGACTCTGGTATCAGAGACTTTATAAAATATTACTATCTCCCATCTTTCCACTAAACTGCATAGGGGCCTAATGTCAACAATGGCATTTTTAAACTTCTACTGCTCTGGAATAATTTCTGTTGCCATTAGAATTATGTTTTAAGACATATGCTTGCTATGTAATTTGTCTCACACTTCCTCGGATAATTTTCCAGAGTCTGTCAATGCTCAGGGGAGTTTGACACCTCTTATTTACAAGTTACAGGTCCATGGAAATCAAAGAAATTTATCCAGTGTCTTAAATACCATCAGGAATAATTTTTTGTGAAGATTAAGATTTCTGTATCTGTTTTATTTTCATGAAAACAAATCACTTCGCAATAACAAACTCAATACCCAAGTCTACATCAATACATCACTTCAAGCAAAATGGCAGACTTATGCATGACCAAATTAAAAGGCTGTACTTTGGTTCTCCTTATACTTATCACTACTTTAGCGGCATTATAACAACTCCTGTCAGCAAACATTACTCTCTTAAAAATCCACTGAAAACTCATAAATATTAATAAAATATTCAATTTTGACTATCCAAAACCAAATAAAATATTAGAGAAAACTGCAAAGAACCCAAACAGCTTCAAGGTATCTTTTGGTTTGTTCTGTTCTTTTGGTTTTGCAGTTTATCTGCAGTTTTGGTGTTCAGGTTATTTTAATTTCAGCAACACTTTTAACTCACCTACACGTGTAAAACATTTAGAAAGAAGTGGTGAGTCGTATTCATGAAGTTCTTTAACAAAAACTCACCCTTGCATTTTTTTCTATCAACATTTTTAAAAAATTAGAGTAATTTTTGTTTGTGCCAATATACTTGTTGAAACGTTGGCTGTAACCAAACACCAGCTGCACTTACCCCAGTGTTGTCATAGTGACAATGGTGTACCAGAAGGCTGCAGGGATGCTGGTGAACTTGCTGGCTGATGAACCTTTCTCTGCATAGTACATTACTGTGGCAAAGATGATGATGGCCATAGTGAGTGAGAAGAGGAGGAAGCCTAACTCTGAGGCACAACTTTTCAGGGTATAACCCAGGATGCGCAGCCCCTGCGAGTGGCGGGAAAACTTAAAGATCCTGAAGACACGAAAGACACGTAGTGTCACAAAAGCCCCACTGACATCCTCATTATCTGTCATCACCAGGCCAATGTAATACGGCATGATGGCGACCACATCAATGATACTCATGACACTGCGCACGAATTTGTAGCGACTAGGGGCCGCCAGCAGACGTAGGAGATATTCAACTGTGAAGATCATTACACAGGCAGTATCCAGACAGAAGAAAGCCACAGCATAGCGCTCTCCACAGGGCAGCTCCTTGATGCGACCTGGGCTTACCCCACAGGGCACTGTCTCCACCACATTAGCAATAACAGAGACAGCAATGAAGAAACCAGTGACATAGTAGAAGACCAGAGCCAGTGTACTGGTATGTGGGTTTTCAAAAGCCCGCCACATCCTCTGTCGAGCTGTCATTGAGGGCAGGGAGCTCTCAGCTGCATGATCCTGGTCGGCATCATCCTGCAAGCGCTCAGCATTCTCACGCCGGCGATCCTTGTACTCCTCATAACAGCAGTCGCCAATGATCTCGGGGATGATGCCAAAGAAGGCTAGCTCCTCATCGTAAGCTGAGATGCACTCCTGGCGGGGATAATGAAGCTTCCCAGTACGGTAGAAGTTGAGAATGTGGCGGAAAATGTCAGGGTCCCGATCAAAAAAGTACTGCTGTGTCTCAGGGTGGTAGAAGAAGTCCCGCTCCGAACTGCCCAACAGTGTGTCAGGGTAGCGCTCTAAGGTGTCCAGCCACGTCTGGAACTGGATGCCACTCACATTCAGCACAATCAGAGAGTCCTGGCTTCGCTTCCTCTCCTGCCGCGGAGCAGCTGGCATAGGACCTGTGGCCACTGGCATCCATCCTATGGCCGCTGCCCTGGCAAAGGGTAACCAAGCTGCCACTCCTGCTGCCATGGTCCCAGGCAACTACTACAGCCGAGGAAGTCAATCTAGAGACAGTCCTGGTCCCGCACTAGAGAGGGAAAAGAAAAATACAAATGTTCACATATTTTTAAGGCAACTGAATTTCTGAACGTTGTTATGATTAACTGAAAATCTTTTTGCTCCCTTTCTGTTTCCTCTCTTTTTTTATACTCGAATATCCTTTCCAGGGACTGGTTAGCCAGTTAGGGCAATAAATTAGGGCACTTGGAAATCAGCACATTCAAAGCAGCAACTCTAGC